ATATAATTATTTCTATGAAAAACAAGATGATATATTTAATAAATGATCAAGACGATGAACTGAATAACGTAATGGTATTAAACGATAGATATTTGAAAAATATTTTATACATTCAGTTCTTTGTTTATAATGAGTTATTTTATTTGATAAACTTTCTTCACATTTATAACAATGAAATGTTTCACGATGTCCAATTTTAATTGGACTTTGTTTTGTTAAATAACTTATTAAAAAATTCATTGCAATATCTTCACAATTTATATTCATTTGTATATATTCACGTATTTGTTCAGACATAATATTCGTATAAAAATCTAAATACCAACGATGTAAAAAAGCTGCGCCAGTTAATATCATCGAATATGAACATGATGATGATGATGATGCATCATATTCTAATGTAATTAAATTATGTGAACGAGAAATAAAACCAATAAGTCTCGAACGATTTTCTAACCATATACGAAATGCATATTCAATTTCATCATGTCGTAAAAAACTATCATCATCTAATGACAAGATACAATCTGTTTGAATAAATTCATTCCATGGTAAAAATCGATTATTTAAATTATTTGTTAAATTAAATATATATATAATTTCAACATGTATTGATGGTAAATAAATATAATAATCATCAAGAAAATCTTTTAATGATAGATTTTCAGATTTTTCAATTTTATCAATTTGATTAAATAAAACAAGAATACGATGAACATTTATTAAACCATTTAAATGTAATAATAAACGATTTAATTGATAGAAACGTTTTTTATGTGTTAGGATAATAATAGTATATTTTTCATTCGAAGATGGTATTTCAAATGGATTAGTTAATACTTCCGAACGATAAAATGGTTGATATAAACGATTCCATTGATCGTAGAATGTTGGTTCGATTTGTATGGAAGTTTTTTTATTTGATTGAAAACTAATTTTATCCATTAAACCAATAGGCATTTGAGTAAAATTAAGATTTCGAGGGTGAATTAAATAATAGAAATTATTTTCTTTAGTTAATCGATTTTTTATTTCAACGAAGTTTGATGATTTTGGTAATGTTGGTAAACGAAAATGTGTACGTAAATAAGCAATAGTGGTGTGAAAATGACGTTCAAATGTTTGAAAATAGATTGTATATAACCATGAATAGGATGCTGATGGATGTGACCAGTCGATAACTTTTGAATATGGAAGATAATGTTCACAATTTAAAGCAATGACATGAATTTGTTGAGATAATAGATAAAAAAATAATTCATAGAATTGATTTTGAATCAAAATTGAATACGACGAAGAAGAACAGATAATAGATATAAGAGAAAGATTTTTATTCGAAATAATTTGTGAACAAGATGGGTGAAAACATTGCATGGCTATATAATATTTGTTATTTAATTGATTATATTCATGTGTAGATATAGTTACTAAAATAAAATAAAAAAAATTTTAATAGACAAATTGTATTCAAGAAATGCTTTCTTGTACGATTTAATCCGTAAAAAAAATGAGTGAACAGGTAGCGGAGATTTTATAGAGTTTACTGAATGAAAGAGTATCAGAGGTGTAGAATCTTTCTCGCGCGAGGAGGGAAATTTGGATCTTTTGGAAGATTCTGCACCTCTAATGCAAACTCAGTTTATAAGTTAATGGTTTACCCTTTCTTCTATCTTGTGATGAGTCTTCGTTAGTTCTCGAGTTTCTAGCAATCGATCTCGACTGTCATAAAAATACAGTTACGAAAACAGCTGACGTCGACGTATTGGTATTAAAATCCACTGTTTTCAGTAGTCGAACAAAGAGTCAAAGGCGTACCGACTGAGAGCGCATGAAGCGTTACGTCTTCTCCCCGGCTTTGGAAAGTTTTAGTCTATTTTTGGTCAATGTAATCAAAAACAATGGTTTTTACATGTTTTTTGGTGTCATATTTAAGTAAACAGGGTGCCGCGCTTCTCTGCTTTTAGAATTTGAAGTACTGAGGTTTTACGTCCCCTTGCCTTGGAGATCTCGGTACGCCTCTGCAACGAGTAATTCAATATAAAATTCAACTAACTATAGTATACTACCATTTTCTATCGAGAAAAAAATACTGTATCAGATAATTCAATCAATAAGGACATTTTTAAAAATAAAATCTTCGAACTTACCATTTGTATTTAAATAAATAACGCCAATTGATAGTTGTTGTGTGTCATTTAATCTCCAACGATCATTATTAATATTTGTATTATTAAATTGAGTAAAGAATTTAACAGGAAGAAAATTTCCATGAAAACATTTTTCATCAATATCTTCACCAGTATAATTTATAAATTCATATAAAACAAAATATTTTTGATCAATTACATCTTTATAACAAATATTAAATTTATTCGATCGTATTGGCAAATAGATAACGTGTAAATAAGCTTCAGTTTTATTTAATGTTATATAAGAATTATGAATATTTGAAATTTTCTTATTAAATTTATATAAACTATCATAATCAATATCATTTGAAATATTAATCGAATGAAAATAGACAAGAAATTTTGTTTGATTCTTTTGAATCGTTTTTTCCAAATCAAAATCAAATGAATTAAAATATGATATTTTTTTCTGTACTTGTTCATTATAATGAATTGTTTTAATTAAACGTTTTAAATGCCATGTATATTTTGTTAAATATTTTTCAACTTTTATTAAACGATTTTGTATAGAAGATAAATTCGATTGTTTCGCACGTATTAAACGTTCAAGATGTGGTAATTCAATAAGTAATGAAGTATATATACGATGTTCATCAGTAAGAAAATATGTTTTTATTCGAGTATATTTATATAATAATAATAAACTTGTCAATATTAATATAAAAAATAAATATCGTCGTCGATGATAATGTATTAACATCGTTTCATATATTTATTATATAAAGCGTGCGTTAATTCTTTCGATTTATTTTCCTCTTTCTTCTTCTTCTTTCTCTCTCGCTGATATTGCCGATGTGTAAAGAAAGACAAATAACTAAAGAACGATTACTTACCAGGTACAATTGACTGTGCAGTAACACGCATGCCACGATAATCGACAACAATAGTGCCTAACGTATGTAAACCATCTAAATCAAGTGTATTTATAGCACGAACACCTTGTAAATCATTTGTTGGAGCTGAATGAGCAGCAGCATCACCACCAAAATCTTTATAATGTTCTTTAACATCAAAACCAAGACTGAAGAACATATTATTCCATATATACATATGAACTCTAAATAAATACAATAGAATTTTACTAAGTATATTATCAATCTGTTTATATTATGAGTCAAAATTCTTAGAATATAGCCTAGAGTAACGTTAATGATAAATCTGACTTACTTTGATTCTTCACCAGGATTAATTGCCATTATATTTCCATCAACAACTGCTTGACAACCTCGGATAGCAGCTGAAACGAAATCACTATGTACCTAAAATAAAATAAAAAGTTAATGAAAAATTTCATTTTTAGGATTTATACTTTAAACATTGCACGTTCTCTTATAAGTCTTTCTGGTAAACTTTTCTTTGGTAATTCTTTGGTGATTTGTAATTCTTCATTCCAATCACGTACTTGACCAGGTATATGATCTTCATGACCAAGTTTATTTATATTTGCTAAATAAATACTAATTATTTAATTTTTTGTTTAAAAAACAAATTTTTTTTCTTATACCATCTTCTGCTCGAAAATGATCTATGGTATGTTCAAAACGTGGTGATAACCATGGATGAATTTGATATGGAACTTGTATACGTTCAAATGGATGTTTTGTACAACGTTTACGTTGAATTGCAGAAAATTTCTTTTTAAATATTGGACTTACCTATACAAATAAAAGTTAAATTTCAAAATTATCATATAAATTTTAATCTTACATTATTCAATAGATCAACAAGTGAATGAAAAATAGCTTTAGGTTGCACCGGTTTTGGAATAAATTTTTCATCTGATGTTCTTAAAAATAATATATATGTATATAAATATATATATATATATATATTAGAAAAATGTTTACTTACTGACTAACATAAAAACCTTTCGTACAAGCTGTTATATGAAATGATTTTTCTTCACATGTTGTTACTTGTAAATACATAAGATCACCTTTTAAAAAAGCAAAAAACAAGGTAGTTTGTATTTTTGAAAACATCTTTTATATAATAACTAACCATGTAATTTTCTTGAACCATTTGGTGGATTCCAACCACTGTAGGACAAGACTTTAAGACATTGTAATCTCTAGAAACAAAAATAATTCATTCATATTAGATGATCATTTGAAAATTTGGTAGGAAGAACAACAAGGTGATGGCAGAGATGCCATTCACACACGATATCTCTAATAGATTTCATAATCGTCTGTTAGTCTAATCGATTTTGTTCGATGATGAAATTAGATATTTACTGTATTATTAAAGTAGACTAATAAATTGGTACATATTTATTAGGGAAAGTTGGTTAACGAGTATCTGACAGTATCGATGTATAGTTACGTTGAGTTTATGTCTTATACTATGAAGTCTGACGTGTGTCTATCTAAATCAAAAGTCAAAGACAAAATTTTATACATCCGTTTGCATACTTTTCAAAGATGATCAGTTTTAAAAGGATTATAACTGATTGATAAAAACCGCAAGTCATCCTTTACTGTCATTGTCTAAATGTTCATCTTACACACACTCCTACTTCATTCTGTTGTCGACAATCGATATCCTATAAAACTATCTATGAACACATTGAACTAGTATCATCGAATCAATTTCTTGAAAGTAATAATGTGAGTAGAAATACATCTATTAATCATTCCGAATAGCTGTCATATTAATTGTTAAGGAAAAATCAATTCTCTTTAGCGTGTATATGATTCCAGATGGGAAGAAAAAGCTATTGGCTGTAATTAGGCATGCATTTTTGAACATCACTAATAAACATAGAAGTTTATCATATTCATAATAGCATATCTAATTCTAGTTTCACACATAATTGAACAAGAGTATGATTAACAAAATACATATTTACATTAACTTTATTATTTGTTGTAAAAAGTGGTGTAAGTAGGACATCATTTTGATTAGGTAGAAGATATTCAGGTACACTAGAATCATTATCAGGTATTTCAGCACCTTTTTTACGATCTAAACACAAAAAATGAATGAATTCAATTCAAAAAGTTTTTTTTGTCTATCTATTACCAGTATTTGGTGATGAAGGTATATCACTATTTGTTATATCATTTACAAGACATAACGAATAACCATTTGTACCATTATATAAATCATTTAAATCACATGAATGTATTAATTCATTAATATGTCGTACATGAATACGTACTTCACGTACGGTATATTGTTCTAAATAATAATTAAATATTAAATTTTCATTCAATTCTTTTTTCTGAAGACAAACCTTCAACAACTTTTAATAAACTTCCTTCTTTAATTCCTTCAATATTTTTTAATTCAGTAAAATTATCTAAAATAACACCATCAAGTTGTAATGAAAAACACGTACGATGACATGTTTCTTCTTTATCCATTAATACTTGATGAATTTCTTGAACAAGTTCACTTGATGTTACCTAGAAGATAAAACAAAAAATTTTCTTTTTCAAAAATAAAACCATCGAGATTTTACTGGTAAATCAAATGTGTCTAAACCAGGTGATTGTACTCGTATATTAAAGGATATTTCAGGTAAAACAACAAGTTCATTTGAACTATTTGGATTTGTTGTTGTTGTTATTTCACTTGTATTTAAATTTGATGATGAAGATGATGTATCAGGACAATTATTTAATGGTACATCATTAACTGATGATGTTGAACTTGTATTTGTTGCTGAATCATCATTATCAGAATCTTTACGTGTTTTTATCAAATCATTTGGATGACCATTACATGTTGTACACTCTGAATCTGTTGTTGAAAGATTTTCAGTTGGTTGTTTCATGATCTATCTTGATCTGTTTTTATTGAATAAATGAAGTCGATGAGAGAGATAAACAAGAAAAATTCTGAAAAAATACAAAAGTCTGTTTTAAATTATATCAATAAATCTCACAATTGTTTCTATCTGTATAAACATATGCCGACTAAACGAAGGTCAACAAATAATAATTAATAATATTTTCATTTCTAGGTAAATGAAATTATTTGAGAAGAATATAAATAACTTTTCTAAACGTCATAATATTACGATATACTTCACATAGAAATAGTAAAACACATTATAAATAGAGGATGCTAAACAGATGAAAGGAAAAAAGAAAAGAAAATACAACTGTGCAATGACGCTGATGTAATATCCTGTCGCTTAGAGTACACTGTATAGTAACGACAAGGACTAAAAAGTAACGAACGAGGATAATACACAATCGTCTAGAAAGAAGTAAACAACAGTTTCTTAATAACGAAGAGAGAAAAAAACAGAGATATAAAAGTTCATTGATTTTTTTTTCTTCTCTCAATCTATGATTTCTTCTCTACTGTTCTACAATTAGGTATTACAGGAAAAAGAAAAATACTATATGAAGGACATAGGATCAGAACGACCTTTATTAAATACATTGACGAACGGTGTTAAATGAATCTGTTGATAGAAATTGGAAGATGATAACTGACGATCCTATTTCAGTTTGTTTGTCTGATTTAGTTATTAGAAGAAGAAGAAGAAGAAGAAGAATTCGGATGGACAGAATGAGACGGATACGAACGATACATACATACATGCATATGCGCGAAGATATATATGTGAGAAAAAAAAAGAAGAAAGATAGATAACAGTGAGAACGAGTTAATCGATTGCCGTTCTTCTATAATAATATAAAAAACAACTTAGAGAAGAAAAGACAAAAGAAAGAAAAAGACGAGATGAAGAAAATATATGTCCTCCCTTTCGAACTACCATACATATTTTGTTGACATTATATATCCGCTTATCCAATTGGTTAACAAACACACGTGGAATCCAATAGTTCAAATTTTTATCCAAATAATATCATCCGAAACTAACGAACACATATTGGTATATAGATGTCTTATTTAATCACTAGTTAATGAGGTGTCTCTTTAGAATAGTCAGTCTACTTTTCTTTTTCTCAATCATCATCTTTGACAATAAGACATTGGTATTCCTTAAGGTAACATAGCAAGATGATTGTCTATTAATAGACAATATTATTCTAATAATCATAGGCAGATTAATATTAGTTGTCAAAAAAGAAAAATAGTGATAGAATTTTTTTTTCCTCACTTAAACTATTTATGATCAATTCTAGCAATTTATCGATCTATCGACAAGATGATCTATGTAATCCTTTTTATTATTCGAGTATAAAATTACTAATAAAATCGATTGAAAACATATCAAGTAGAATATGTGATATAAAACAATCTCTGCTTTCATATTTGTTTATATACGGAAAAAACAAAGTGTACTAACTAATTTGTAGGTATCAATAACTATGATTGAAAAGACGATATACACGTTTTGTATTATTTTTTCTCTATCGTACTCTCAAGGATGATTTTGATCGTCTATTGAATAGGGTTTGTTTTTTTCTTCTCCTCTGTTACTACAAACTTACGAAAGAAGCACATGTTTAACGTGATTTTATGTACTAAGTGTTTCGGATTTTTTTTTTACTTTCTTAGTGTTTATTTACAGTAAACATATGAACGTATTAACCGACGAATAGCTACTTTTATCTAATGATACAAATTATGAGATGATCGATTGATATTCAAAACTATAACCTTAAGTAAAAATGAGAGAAAGAAACAATAAATAAAATAAAAAAATAAAAGATTTATCTATGACTATCACTCTTCGTTTCATTTTATTGACTTACTCTATTACAAAGTACATGACGGTAAAGAGCATATATATTACACATTATACTATCAGTGCGTTCGTTTTTTACTCCTTTGTGTTTTATTTTTTTCACTCTATACCTCGTTTTTTTCTTCTCTTTCTGTTCTTTTTTCACTTAGAATAGAAGTGAAAAAAAGTATGACCCAAAAGCAAGAAAAAAACACACTCATTCACACCATACGGTCGTTTTTTCGAGAATAACATCGAAAAAATTCTTTTTTTTTTCTCATTAATGACCATTTATATATAATTATCAAGAAAAATTTACACTTTTTCATCTGTCATATACAGCAAACAATTGAAATTTCGTAGTTTTCTTGTATTTATTGAATTTACTAAATCGTTTTTGAGCTAATTGTTCAATATGATTCCGATTTATTCTCTAACATTGAGTAATATTTCTTAGTTCAAATAGAATATTCTTAAGTTTCTGTTTATCTTATCTGACATTGACCGACATCAGAGTTTTAAGAAAAGGAGTATTCGAATGAGAAGAATTTAATCACATCTAAAAATAAAACAAATATTAATAGACGAAAAAAAATTAAGAAGTAGATTTGCCATTTATTAATTTTAAAATCGACGCTGATATCCTAATCCTTCGCATTCAATGAGAGTTGTAGAATTTACAGTATTCGATGCAGATGTCAATGTTTGTGATACCTGTGGAATTTCAGTTATATGAAATTTAACCTATAATGATAAATTAAAATAATCTTATTTTAAGAATAAAACTAACGTTAGTCAATTGTTCAACGACATAAATTGCTGTTTTAGTACGATCAGATAATGGTCCACATCGAATTTTTGAATGACCTTTAGCCAAAGCGATTAACAGAATTAACTATTAATATAAAAACAGTTTAGATACAGTTACTTAGATAGTAAATCACTAACTTGATCTTCTAAATATCGATCAACACATGCTTCGTGAGATAAATCTTTAATCAATTCTTCTGTTGCCTGTATTGCGACATTCGAGGGTGAAACACCTCGTTTACCTAATGCATTTGCTGCTAGTAAACAACCTGTTGTAGTCTCTACAGCAATCCTATACAAATTCTTATAGGTCATATGTTTACAAAAAAAAAACACATTTCTAAATTTATATTCTTACATAATACCACTAGCTGTTCCAGTAGCTATATTATCGGGTTCTTTAACAATCTCAATTTCTATTGAAATATCTTTAGAATAATATTTATGTATTAAATTTTTAGCTGTTTCAGCCATTTCATTAGCAATCTAAATATATATATATATATCTATACATATAAACTGGTTATATTAAGAATTCGAATATACTTCTATGGAATGATTACCAGCAACAAACGATCGACCAAAAAATCTTTTAATTTGTCCAAAATCTGTTAGATCGATAGCAGTTAGCTGTTCAATTGGATTAATACTAATGCGAACATCACCTCCACCTTTTGGATAATAACCTCTATTAAGTATTGTTCATTATTATAATTTATAAAATGATAAATCATATTTACCTTCGAACAATATTTAAATTAAAATTGAAATTAAATCGTTTTGCTACTGGTTGAAATATCTATTCAAACGATAAAAATATTTCAAAAATGTTTAAATCTGAATACCATTTCATAATAATCAATATCTGGTGCAAATTCAGTATTTGTACCTCCAAGTAGTTTTAATTGAGAAGGTCCATTAGCAAAAAGTAAACATGGAATAGCAGTTTGCATCATTAGACATATACTTCTAATAAATAAATATTTAATTTATCATTTTTTTATCTCATCAGGTAAATCAAAAAAACTTACCCAGCTGTTTTTGTATTCCCTACATAATTCCCACCTTTGATTGTTTTTGGTATAAATTGAATATCTGTTGTACCGATATTTGCATTATCAACTTTAGCTTCAGAAAATTCTGCTAATAATTGTATACTAGTTAAATGTTGTGGACGTAATCCATCTTGTGATCGACCAGCTCGAATATTATGAACTCGAACAGGAATATTCAATATAACACTTAATGTTGTAGCATTACGCAATATTTGACCGCCCTTTTAATTAGAAAAAGAGTTCAAAGACAAAAATTTATGAACAATCCTTTCAAAATGAGAAAATCAAGATGGAGAGTAAATTTAGTTCCTCCTCAATCATACGAGTTGTCATTAATCTGCTTCATATATTTACTCAAATGATAATTAAGATTCAATATATATTGTCTCTATTTGTAAACATTAGAAAGTATACGTACACCTTCAAGATAGGATCCATCAACTGTTATCATATTTAATGATGAATTATATATCTTAAAAAATCAAAAAAAAAAGATCTCATATGTAAGTATTTGTGATTGTACAATTTAGTCTGGTATTATTTTTTATTAAACTCAGATAAAAAAATTAAATAATTTTAACTACAAGTAGAAATTTGTGTGAATATGGAATGTTTGTTTGTGTATCATATACATACAGAATAAGGTATATGTATTTGAATTAAGCAATTCGGCGGACAGCAAGTGTAGAATTGAGCAATTTTGCATCACTAATTTTTCTTTTTTCACTATCACGATTGATTTTTGTTGATGGTGGTTCCATAAATTCAAATTTGTTCGATTGTAATGACGGAATATTCTCAGTAAGAAATTGCCGTACATCTGCTAAAGTTCGATTAAGATCAATTTGTATACATATTGGTGTAGAGATATCAGGCAGACGAAGACGAATAGTTGTTGATGCTGATGATGATGTTTTTAATCGTTTTGTAGCAAGTTGTTCAAGACGGCGTGTATCGATTGTTTCTGGTACTACACTAACAGGTGAAGCAGTCGATGATTTGAATGCTGCTCGATCGGATCCTGATAAACCAAGAGTATGACCAGTACCATGGAATGGTTTAAATGAAGGTGCTACACGCTTATATTCTTCACCGCGATGATCTTCAAGACGCACCTATGATATAGAAATGATTTTAAATAAAAAATAAATCATTGAAATTCGAAATTCTGTTTTTACCTCAATCTGTTTTCCATTGGTATTTAACTTTCCAAGTTCAGGTGGTACTTCACCGCGTTTAATATATTCAAGAAATTCTTTGTTCTCTTCGAATTTACGTAATTCACCATCACCAACAGTAAATCCATTTGAATACAATCGTATTGGTAATTGTTCAACTTTACTAACAGCAGCAGCTGCTGCTGCAGCTTCTGATGATGATCGACCTTGAGTACGTGAAGATACATGTTCATCACCTATATAAAGAGAAATTATTCAATTTAATTGATCATTTTTTTATTATATGGATTACCTAGAGAATATCCAGCACCATTGAATGGTTTTTCCTTTTTTGTCTGTGATGACGATGATGCTGCTGAAGTAGATTTATCATCATGAGCTTCTGTTGCTCCTTGTTTACGAGCAGCTTCGAATACATTAGTTATTTTTGTATCATTATCTCGAGTTTTAGGTGGTCCAATAATTTGTTGACCACTTCGTTCTGAACCACCAGCATAAAAAGCTTGATCTGGTAAATATTGACATCATATATCTTTATTATCTATTTATAATGAAAATAATTCAATTACCTTCATCATCAGAATCATCTCTATCATGTTTGAAATTATTGACAGTATTGATTTTAGATGATATTATTGATTTATACTCATTAGTTCTTTTTGGAAATACACTTGGTGTTGTTTCAGGTGGTTTAATTCGTAGACTATCTTCAATAGCTGCTTGAAGTAAATCATCATCTGATTCATAATCATTTGTTCTTGAAAAAGTTGCTGCGTCTGATTGTCAAAAAAAAGATGAATATTCATATTTTATATTATTATGACATTTAAATTAATACTAACCAGGAAGATTTTGATAATTATCTTTAGGATGTGATCTAGTGATTGGTGGAGGGCTGGGCTCTCGATAATTAGAAGCATCACTTTCAAAAAAGAAATTCATAGCTACTTGTTCATTCCATTCTGCATTTTCCAAATATTCTCTTGCTTGATCATATGAGCATTGTGTGACAGAAATAAATCTGTTTAATATTTCATCTCTGTCGTCTGATGACATTTGAATAGCAAAATGAAGCTATGTCGTGAACTCACTTGGAAAATTCCTTCTTATGATACTGTCCTGGACAGTAAATAATACTTTAAAATAAAAAATTAATCTTTTTTTCTTCATTCCTGTTCTTCCGACTATGATGACTCATTCATTCATTTACTGGTTACATTATTCAACGAATCTTGATAGATTTCTTAGTCATATAGAATATAAATAATTATGAATTGAAAACATAAATTTATCGGATAAATCAATGTTTGCTAAGATCAATTCTTATATAGTATAATAAATTCGAATATTTTTTCATTGGTTCATTTTTTTCATATGAACGATTTTTATTGGTAAACAAAGAATAAAGATTAATAAAAATATAGGTGTTTGCTTTTTTTTATCACTATCCTATCATTTTGTTTTGTTTGGGACGAAGTAAAATACTATTAATTACAGTATAGAAACATTTCAAAACGTTTCATCCGACATCGTCCTACGAGCTTACAGACTTGTGTTTGCGTCTGTGCTCAAGTAATGTATGATTAAAAAGATTTCATTTCAAAAATTGCAAATTTTCCATTTTTTAGATTAATATGAAGGTATAGATCTTATATATATATAAATAAATAATAATAAAAAGATAAACAAATTTCTTTTTGTTATATAGCGTACATTTTCAGGCGATGAATTTGATGCAAATGGTGATGGTATTGGTAATTCGAGTTCTCAAATAATTGATATTGCTAAAAAAGTAGAATTGATTTAATCTTAAATGAAAAGATTAATAATCGATTTATTTAGAGTCGTTCCGAACCAGCATTACCTTCTCGTGTTGTTCATTTAAGAAATATTGAAGCAAGTGAACTTGAAGTTGTACAACTTGGTCTTCCATTTGGTCGTGTATCAAATTTTCTTAATTTACGAAAAAAATCCCAAGTAAATCCTATGATTTAAAATTTTATTTTATTTCATTTAAACTTTTAAAAGGCTTTTCTTGAATTTGATTCAACTGAATCAGCTAAACAAATGGTAGAATATTTAACATCTATGCCGACTATGATTGCTGGTCGACAAGTTTTTGCACAATATTCTAATCATGGTGAACTACGAACAGATCCATCAAATCGTACAAATCAACAAGCACATGCAGCATTAGCACAAGCTACAGATCTATATGAAACAGCACAAAAAGGTGGACAAAATTGTGTACTACGTATTAGTATTATGAATATGTTATATCCTGTTACAATTGATGTATTACATCAGGTATAATAAGAACTATTGAGTTTAAAACAAATTAACTATTTGGATTTCTTAGATCTTTAGTAAATTTGGTACAGTACTGAAATTAATCACATTTACAAAAAATGGTATGTAAATTTTTTCGTTTGGTCTTGCTTAATGTAAATCTTGATTTTTATTTCTTAATGTTAGATAAATTTCAAGCACTTATTCAATTAAAAGATCCAAATGGAGCTGCACAAGCGAAATTAGTAAGTTTTATATTTATCATTACGAAATTCATAGTCACGTCTGTAAGGTTGACTAAGAGAATGAAAGATATTTATGTATGTAAAAAATGTGTATGTAGAATATTTTTATAATGACTCAAGTTTTGATAATATTTTAAAATGGATCTGTAGTAGTGCAAGCAAATAAGACAATTGTTGATTGATATACGATCGAATTTGACTCAACTCTATAGAAATGATTATTTTACATTCCAAATCTACTAATAATACTCGCTAAATATTTGTTTTTTGAGAATTCTACTGTTATTCTGCATTACGGTATAGAATCGTCTGTTTGAGATAAAGTATTAATAAATGATTGATACTTTGCACAAGAATTTGTTGGTAGAGAGATGAACATAGTTTTAAATTTTTAGCTTCTACAAATGATCGTGAAAATATATTCGGTCTATAAAAGAATAAAGATCAATTATGTCATTATAAATTTGAGTAATGAGCAATTGTTTTCGAGGAATACAAGTTAATACGAGCAATAGAATCTAGTCTCATGAATCCATCTTCTTCAGATATTTAAAGTAATTTGAAATTGATGTTTCGTATTGATACATGAACTGTTCGGAATTACAATGTAAAGCATTATTTGCGATAGATTCTTATGGAAATCTTTAATTATTGTATCATGAACCGAGTCTAACGCAGTAAGAAATACCTAAGGAATAACAAGTTTAATTTCGTATGCTATAAAGAATATTATCAATAATATGAAATCCTAGTTTTAATTGTATTGTACGAGACGTTTTTATACATTTTCTTTCGTCTTGTTTTAGCAATTACATGGCCAGAATATATACAATGGTTGTTGTACTGTAAGTATTTTCACTTTAAAACTACTTCCGAAGTACATGTATATATATTATCTAGCTCCAAATTGAATATTCCAAACTTCTTTCACTCACTGTTAAATATAATAATGATAAAAGTCGAGATTATACTAATCCAACATTACCATCCAATGACGGAAATATGGGTCAACAAATAGATTTAGGTTATTTGCTTTTATCTACTTTTGATATTATTAATTCTAATTTATAGATCGCATGCATTCAAATCCTGGCCTTCTTCCATTACAAAGATCTACTTCCAATGAAGATTATCGTTACGGTACAAAAAAATCTTCTTTACAACGTTTTTTCTCAACATAATATTCTTATTTTTCAGATTATTTCTCAGCAGCTGCTGCAGTACGCGGTCGACCTCCATCAACAAGCGGTATCGCTCCTGGTTATGATATATCAGGTATAACCTTTAAAAAAGTTTTAAAGTACTTGATCATAATTCCCAAACAAGTTCTGTTGATAATAGATTTTAAATCTTTAGCAATAATCAAATAATAATAAAATATAAAACAGTATTAAATGGATATTTCAAATCGAGATTAATACAAGTGTAAAGTATCAGAGAAATGTCAAGAGAAAAATCTATATATATACAGAATGTATATTTTAATGTTTTTCAACTACTCTTAATATCTCTCAGAATAATTCAATGTTGTCTTATGTGGCCATTTATGATAAATAATAACAAATGAAATTAATGTGAAGCAGCTATTGAATAACAAAAAAGGTTAAGATGAAGATTTGCAAATTGTGCTACTTCTTTTCGATTATTTTGTTCATACAAACACATAAAATCTTTCCTTCCTTCCTTCCTTCTTCTACTAATAATACGTCAGAAATAATTCATCATCAATATTAGTACTTATTATTAATGATATTATCCTTTTTTGACATTTTTTCTTTAGGTAATGGTGGTCATTTAATGAGTCCACTCCCACCATCATCCGGCGCTTATAATCCAATGGTAGGTGCTACATCTGGTCCATATGGTCATCCATACGGTGCAGGTCATCCTCCTCCACCACCACCTATGCATGGTTTACCACCAGGACATATGCAATCCCATCAACAACAAAATCCTCATATGATGTCTGTTCAAAATGGTCCCGTTATTCTCGTATCAAACCTTAATGAAGATGTAAGTAGAGAAAAACAAAACAAAACAAAACATATATTTTATAATCTTTTTCTTTAATGAATAAGTTAGAAAACAAAATACATCTCTTTCGAATATCTATTCATTTCTTTCTCTTTTTTCCTCTTTCGGACGATTAGATGACGACTCCAGAGTCCTTATTCACAGTATTCGGTATGTGTATCTTCTCTTTCTTTTCTCGTTCTTGATAGGCAACTGAAAGTAAATCTTTTGAAAACAATTTTTTCCTATTTTTCATAGGTGTCTATGGTGATGTGCATCGGGTAAAAATTTTATTTAACAAAAAAGATTCAGCATTAATTCAATTTGCTACACCACAACAAGCAGCTGTTGGTAAATATATAAGACTCAATAATATCTATATTTCTTACAAAATTGTTCAAACTAAAATGTATCGAATGTCTAAATCCGAAAAGGAAAAATGCTCAATGACATAAATTCAAATCTAAGATTTTCGAATCTAACAAATTCTGATGATATATGTGTTTCTGTCATCATTTAATTGTGTATATTTTTATTTATTAAGCTCATCAAAATCTTGATCATGTAACAATGTTTGGAAAATCTATACGAGTCTCATTTTCTAAACATCAATTTGTACAAATGCCAAAAGATGGAACATCGGTAACAATAAATTATATTTATTTTGATTTGAAAAAGAAATTATTTCGATTATAGGATATGGGTTTAACAAAAGATTTCACAAATTCTCCATTACATCGTTTTAAAAAACCAGGATCAAAAAATTATAATAATATTTTTCCACCTGGCAATGTTTTACATCTATCAAATATTCCGTAAGAATTTTTTTTTAATTTGTCTAAAGAAATCAATTTCTTTTTTCTTAGAACTGAAACAAGCGAAGAAGATATTCGAAATATATTTTCGCAATATGGTACAATAAAACGATTTAAATTCTTTGAAAAAGATCGTAAAATGGCATTGATTGAAATGGATACTATTGAACAAGCTATAGCAGGATTAATTGTATGTATTTAAAAACATATTCTAATGAATTTTTATCTCATGTTTTTGTTTTTAGAATACTCATAATTATCGTTTAGCAGATTCAATGCATCTCCGTGTATCGTTTTCGAAGAGCAAATTATAAAATATTTGACTCTTGTTGATAAAACAAAATTAAAAAGGCAACATTTTTTTTTGTTTTTTTTTCTTGATTTACGTTTGTTCCGATGTCGACTTATTATACTTGTGTTTTTTTTTCTATTCATGTTCTTATGTCTTTTCTTAATTCGAAAAAAAGAAGGTTATAATTACGTGGGTAATAAAATAAGTTAGGAAAGACCTCAAAATCTATACATTATTCCCGAGATTTCAATTGATAAACTAATCTTATACAAAAGTAAGATTAGTTTTTTAATTATATAATATTCTCTTCAGAAGACTGATAAAAAATGATCGATCAATGATAAGACAAGATATTTATAGATTAAGAGAAAAAAAGAAAGACTATTATTCAATGTCGTTCTGTTTCTTAACAAATAATCTGTATGTGTTATAATACAAAATAATAAAATTCTACAATGTTTGATTATAATTAAAATCAAATAAGTTCTATAAATAAATTACAATAGTCTACAATGTAACTAGATAAGCCTCTTTCTTTTTTCTTTCTTACATTAATATGCATATCCTGACCATTAAAACTCATTCAGTTAGAAAGATTTTTACAGTTCCATAAATAAGACATGATTTATTTTTTATGCTAATGTCATAAACTTATAGACAAAAACATGTTGTTGAAAATAACAAAAAAGAAAGTAGATTTATTCATATATATGATTAGAATATTGACGAAGATTGTAAACAATAAAAAAAAAGAAAGAAGATTTTTCCTTGAAATATAAATTTGTATTAAGATAAAAATAATAATTAACCTTGAATAAAGTCCCCAAATGTCTTACATATATCATCCAGTAAATTTAAACTAATTCTACTCTTGTGACATTATTTATAAGTAGATAGAACTATCTACTATTGTAAATCCCAATAGTCTTTCATGCTTGAATAATCAATATGATATCGAATGATAATGATATACAGGAAAAACATAAGATATTCTGCTGATCTTAATATAATGTGTATATATATGTATAATAGTGTGTAAACAAAAGCAGTAGATATCGAAAAAGAGAACACCGTCTAGCACACATACACAAAGAAAAAAGAAGTGCAGGAGTTAAAACCTGAGCAGAGTATTACATATGTGCATTGGCTACAAAAAGAAAAGAATACTGTATATGAGTTTTGTCTTCAAAGCATTAAATAAAGAAAAGCCCACAAGAATATTTATTTACAAAGACAAGAAGAAAAGAAAAAAGAAAAGAAATCATTTTCCATGTTTCAATCGCCTAATGTTCATCTTGTGAGCGTTAATAATAAAACAAATAGGATAATATATATAAGAGATAATAATAAAACATAAAACTGAACAAAGAAAAAAAAATAGTTAGAAAGAAGAATATATAGCATTGCCTTTTCTTTATTCTAAATCCATATCGGCAGCTTCATCTTCGCTAAAATCACTTAATAATTCATCGTCGGACTCAGTTTTATTTGTTTGATTGGAATTGTTTATATCATTCGGTTGATTATTCGATGATGTTTGACCATTAATTGTTGCAGATAAACTTTCAGCCATAGCAGCTGTTGCAAAACGTTGAACATATTCTATGTAATCGAAAAAAATATTAAATCAATAGATCTTGGTATTATCTATGAATATACCTCGCACTTTCTTCTTATAATCATCAGGTTTATGAAGATATAAAGCTGCAGCATCGCCATTCAAAGGATCCACCGGATTTGGATAGGCAAGTAATTGTGGAAGAAAGGATTCAAAAATATTTGCGAGATCTTTATTTTTTAATAAAACAAAAATAATAAATAATTTTTAAACATTAATATTTACTCACCATACATTGGAGTCCATGTTTGATTAATTACATCGAGACAAACTGTACCGGACCTATTATTTTTAATTGAGATATTTTTTGAAAAGAATATAATATCACTTACATCTCATCGATATTTGGATGAAAAATTCGATTCATGAAACCTATACAGAATATTAAAAAGAAATTTCATTGGCGTAAAGATTGAGATATTGTTTATAATCAGTATGGGAATACGACATGAATAAATAGAAACTTCTCTATAGATGGGGGAAAAAATCATACGTCTATCTCCGGAACCAACTGTCCGGGATAACTCAATAAGCACTATGAGTCTTCCGATTTAATTCTACCTTCAATTAAAAGTTATCTTTACTTGTGATCTCTCTCTAGAGCGAAACTTCCGCAAGCTGACAATTATATAGTACAAAAATTTTTAGCATGATATAATTGAAAGCATACTTTTAGACATTACACTTAACTAATAAATATTACTAGTATTTCCCATTGATTATTTATGGTTTAACATATCTGATTCGAATTTTTTTTTCGATCATTGTGCTAAACTTATTTTAGTTTCACACTTCTAAATAGAATTATTATCAATTTACAGAAACAAAAAAACGTTTTTAGAACGCTTCTATTTGGATAACCTATATAAACCTTGTTTATTTTTCTCGATTTTCATATCGATAATATATGATTTCTATTAACCATCTCGATCAATACTATTTTTACAGATTTAGCTTAATGCTTTTAATCCAAAAAAGCTTTTAGGGTTTATGATAGTATTACATCTATAATTTGTTTTCAGATGTAAATAAATAACAGGACTCATCAATATGGTGACATATGTCAATAATATATACTTATAAATATAAGTCCAAAGTACATTAGTATTAGTCATTTAATATTTTTAATGGTAAGTTAATAGAGATTTTTATTTTGAACTGTTTATACATACCAATTGATGGTGATTTGAAAGGATATTTATCGGGTAGATCAACTCGAATATTCCATACACCACCTTCATACGGAGCTAAAACGAAAATATTTTTTTTTTCTAAAGAATATTTCTTCTCTCAAATTAAACTATACTTTCATGTGGTCCAGCAAATTTAACCATAAATTCATTGAGACCAGTGATAAGCGTTACTTGGTGATTTGATTCAATTCTAATAAGAAAAAATTTCGATTCAAAACTTTATGTATGAATTTTATTTATTTACAATTTAATAACATCTGTATCTATACGTCGTTTACCAGGTGATGGTGAACACATTTTTAAAATTGATTTTACTCTTAACTAATAATTAATCTAAAATCCAATCGATCTTTTGAGTGAACTATAAATATGAAGAAAAAAAAATATCAGCTGACTATTGACAATAAAAAATGCCTAGTAATACTGGTATGAAGAAAGACAACAAAACATGTGATTCTTTTTTTTTACGTATACACAGACATCATCGTTCGTGCAACTAAAGTGACTGATGTATGCACGTGTATATTTATTTGCGTCTTTTTTATTGTTGAATATGAATATGAATAATAAATATCTTGTGATGTTATTCGAAAATAAAAAATAATTAGTTTTTCTAAATACGTAATTATTGTTTTTTTGCCCGGAAAATTCTTTTGTCGAAAGAGGTCGTATTTGAACGGTTAGATGAAAAATATTATAATAATAAGAACTTTTTCTTATTTAATACGTAAATAATATTGTTTTATTAAATTTATTTTTAATAAAAGAAAAAAAAATTAATATGAAAATTAGTTTTGATTGATTTATAGATCGACCACATATTGTTGTTATTTGTTTACATTCTTTTCGCTTGTTCTTATTGGTTAAAGTTAATTGTTATTACTCCTGCTGAATCTGCTTGTTCGGATCTGTCATGTTAAGATGATAGGAAATGCAATCAAATTAGCCTGATTAGTTTCTTTTCCTGAGCTAGTTCCATCGTGACTTTCTTATCATGTTCATTTCGTCATTTATTTAAGCGCATTTATAATTGAAAAGGAAATTTTTTTGTTTCTTTTTTTCTTCTTTAGCTATTCACAATGTGCATCTGTCGAATTGTATCATGCATATAGAAACTACAACTTCGGTACCTGATAATGATGAGCAATCATCTGTTTGTTTTTCGGATTTATATAATCTCTTTGAAATTATTGGAAAGTATGAAAAAATAATTCAAATCTTATCATTGAAACGTTTTTTATTCATTTTTATCTATTTTAAAGGGGTCCATTTAGTGTAGTTCGTCGATGTACTAATAAATCAGGCGATACGCAATATGCAGTTAAAATTATTGATGTTGAACAATTTACTGCAACACCAGGATTTTCTGCTGATGGTAAATCTTTCATCAATTTCAAATATATTTTTTTTTCTATTTTTCTTTTTTAACAATTAGATTTACAACGTGAAGCTAGTATATGTTCAAGTCTTAAACATCCACATATTGTTGAATTATATGAAACATTTGAATCTGAAGGCTGTCTATTCATGGTTTTTGAATAGTATGTTGAAATATATTTATGCATGATTGTTTCTATTGAAATACGATTCTTATTGGCATCCGGTATCTAATAGAAATATTGACATTTTATAAGATGTATATGACGAACTCAAAATAATTCCTCAGGAGATTCTAAAACGTCTTTTTTTTAAGGACAAAAGCTAATATCAAGGGCGAAAAGTTCTTGTTTTGTCATTCTATAAAATGATAACAAATAATACATCTAAGACTAAATGATTCATCATTAAATACGCTCTATTTTTTATTTCAATAATAGACATTTTAAGTGATCATTTTTCATTTTTAAAGTCAATTGCAATACGTCAATACAATATTTTTCTATGAGTGACATTTATTATTATATTATTTAGACGAACACGTAGAATAGAGGTACTCATATTGTTTTGTAGTGATCCATAGATAATGTTTTTTTATTAATTGAATAAAGTAATATGGAAAAGATGTTTTTGTCTCTTGATTGAATTACATATATATATTATGAGTTTCTGCTCTAGTTCAAAAAAACATGATTTATCTTATTAAGATTAGAAAAATAGATTTTAATCTATTTCAAATTTTTATAGAAGATCATATCTACCTCTAAATATAATGAATGATTAATTAAAAAACTTTTTTTTTAGTATGGATGGTGCAGATTTATGTTTTGAAATAGAAAAACGTGCTCTTGCTGGTTTTGTATACAGCGAAGCTGTAGCTAGGTATTCATTTTATTATTTTTATATCTTAAATATATATGTATATATTTTTTTTATAGTCATTATATGCGTCAAATATTTGAAGCTGTTCGTTATATACATGATCGTGGAATAATTCATCGAGATTTAAAACCTCATTGTGTTTTATTATCTTCAAAAGAAAATGCTGCACCGGTTAAATTAGGTGGTTTTGGTGTTGCATTACAATTACCAGAATCTGGTTTAATTCAAGCTAGTCGAATTGGTACACCTGCATTTATGGCACCTGAAGTTGTTAATCGAGAATCACCAGGTTTTGGTCGACCGGTTGATATGTGGGCATTAGGTGTGATGTTATATGTTCTATTAACGGGTACTTTACCATTTGCTGGAACAAAAAATCGTGTTTTTGAAATGATTTCAGCTGGTGTTTATAGTGTAAATAATAATTTCTGAAAAGCCAAAAATTAATATAATCTCTTTTTTTCTTTTCAAGATGCAAAGTCGACAATGGGATCATATATCTGAATCTGCTAAAGATCTTTGCACTCGTTTGTTATGCTTAAATCAAAATGACAGAATAACAATTAAAGAGGCACTTGCACATCCATGGATTCGAGTAAGTTAAAGAATAATAGAGTAATCTATAATTAATCTTGTTTCAAGGAGAAAGAAATTTTTATTATTATCCAACCTTTTTTTTCTACTTTGACACTTGAACATTTACTTTTTGTATGAAAAAAGGGAAGGAAATAATTTACCTAATTATGCGTGGTACATAGCACACTACTATTGAGCATTAATTTATACTAATGTGCTTTTATGACATTTAGAAAAAATTCGATAAAAAAAAAAAGAACTATATTTAAAGAGTATTTTAATATAATAATTTACATTTTTTTTAGGAACGTGAAAAATTTGCAGTACGAAAACATCTACCAGATACTGTTGACGAACTGCGTAAATTTAATGCAAGACGAAAATTAAAAGTATATATATCTTTGAATGCCTATTAGTGTATGTTATGCTTTATGATAATAAATAAATCTATTTAGGGTATAGTACTAGCAGCTGTCTCCAGTCCCCATTGGTCTCAATTACCGTTTCATTCACTGATGACAACAACAAATTCATCATCAGAATTACCAGGACATGTGTTGACAACAGCATCTTCAAATGATTTTGACGATATGGCATCATCGGGTAAGTCTTTATCTCGTTGACAAGTAATTATTTCAAGAGAATTATCACTACAAAATCTCTTTGTTATGTTTTTATCAAATATTTATACATTATAGTTCAATTGATTGAATATATTTCTATACATCATTAGCAGATGTTTTGTATATTTCTAAAAAAAAAAAAGTATTTTAAAGAGTGGGTACTTACAATATAAATTTTAGTTACCTATAGATAATCATCTAGTATAAGTGCTTTCAAGGGAAACAGTTAAGTTCAACTATTCTTTTTCTTTTTTGATGTTGAATAATATATTATTTTCTATAATTAAAAAATTATTATTACCTGTTAGTTTTTTTAATAGCAGTTGTTTGATTTTATGAAGCTTGAAAGTCAAATCTTTCCTTTCATGATTCAAGACATACAATTTAGCTTCTCTATATGACATTCTACAGTGAACATCTGCGTTCTTTGACAATAACTACTAAATTAAAAATAAATATTATTTGACCTTTACTATTTACAGTATAACAATCTTCATGTTGTATTAGAGACTCTCTTGATAGAAATGCTATGAATAGAATTAGTTTTCTTTTTTTAGTCTTGATAAGTAAGATCGAATTCACATTCTAATACTTTTAGGAGTACTTTAAGTATCGATATATATTACTACTAATCGAATCTATTCTTATTCCGATAAGTGCTTAGTCAATTTAGTAATCAATCGAGCAGATCTATAAAGAGATTAATGACCAGTAAGACTGACAGTTATTGAGATTGATATAAGTACATACTTGTATGTGTCCAAATATTGAATTCCATTTATAGATGATTAATTTCGACCGTTAGATTCGATCGGATAGGATCCGATACTTGAGTAAAATTAAATTTTACTATTAGTGATTATATAAAAACCAATTAAATGAGTAATAGTTATGAATTCATTGTTCGATCATTAAGAACTATCTGAAGTAAATATTTTTCTCATATTCTCAACTCCTATTGATTAGAATTAAAACTAGTTACCACGCACATCTATAATTATGAATCGATCGCAATCAGTTTTCTCTCATTTATTCATATTTTTACATTCTCATTTTATATCTATATGAAACAGCCTCTGGGTTTATTCTGGCATCAGCATGTCTCATCGTAAGATATGATAATGATTTTTGCTTTAATTGATGCGTAAAATTTATATTTATTGGATCGATTTTCATTGCTCTAAACATTTGATAACGTAATAATTTCTACGTTGAATTTTTTTTACTTAGAAGAATAATTCTTAGAAATTAATATGTAAATGTATTTCTTATTTTTATTTAGCTGTTTCACAAATACTTGATTCATTAGAAGATACTCAATGGTTAACCATTGGTGATCGTGTTGAACTTGATTTTTTACAAAAATTATTCGAAGATAAACAATTACAAACATTACTTGAAGTAAAAAAAATAATTTATTTATTTATTTTTTTTGATATAATTGTATTTAGTTATATGATCGTATTAATTCGGATGAAATTCGTCCATATAATACTCCAGAATCAAATGTTGTACAAATTGTTTCGGATATAATAACAACTATTGAACAAGGTTCTTATCAACATACATCAGAAAATGCACATGATCTTTTGAAAATATTACTTGAACCTCATTTACAGGTACCGTATATATCTATATATTTTTTTTCTCTCTTTTCTAACTATAACCATAGTTAATCGTATATACATATTTATATATATATTGCTTGACTAATCCGAATGAACCGCAAAAGACGGAGAGATAATTGAAATCTGATCGTTTGTTTCTTCTTCTTCTTTTTCTTTTTCTCTATCATCTTTCTTGCATTTCTCGATTCCCTTCTTTTTTTTCTTCGCTTCTCTTTTTTCTTCGATGTCTCTATTGATTATCTACTACTATGCTAATATATATGTAAGGGTGATGATCGACAACATTGAATGATTATTTCGCAAAAAAGATATATGATCTAAATATGTTACATTTCCTCAATGATTAGTACTATTTGAATAGATTTTATAATTCTTCTATTTGTCCATATTGGACTTTATTTATTGTAAAGAAGTATGCTTGTTGTTATTGTTATTAATAATAATTCTATCATCATCATTCTCGTTATTATGGATGAACATAGTTTAAAAGTCTATTGCACACTTGAACATATTAAACAAGTAAGAAGAGACGTTTTCTTTTTTTTTCTTAAATCTCTATAGAATTTGAGTTTTATTCATTGATTGAAATAGTTATGAAATGATGAATTGGATAGAAGAAGAAAAAACTATTGAATTAAATATTTCTACTATAGCCGTCGGGATCAATCAAGCTCATCCATTTCTCCAATGGATTTGTGATAACATAGAAACGATTAATAGACACGCACTCTCTCTCTCTCTCTCTCTCTGTCTTGAATGTTCAGAATGAAGCAAAAAGAGAAGCACGAATGAGTATTGCAATAAGAGAAAAAGAAAAAGAAATAATATTATGATTATTGTACTACTATTTTCTATAGATATATAAATCAATGTACTTTTTTTTTACTATTAATCATATGCATAAATAGTTTGTAATGGTATGTATAAGAATGAGATATCCATCATTGAATTGATTTATACTCGTACAAACATTCGTAAATGTCTATCAGTTGTATATCTAAAGAAAACTCGTACTATCACATAGAAATATAATATTAGAAAAATATTTTTCTATAAAGATAAGATTCTCGATAGAACTTGATATCATTCCGAAAAAAAATTTTTTTTTTTTGAGAAAATTATTATATTAGTTTATTCAACTGAGGAAAATTAAATGAAATTTAATTTAGATATTATGCCTTTTAGAAATTCTTAATATAAACACACATTAAGCTAATATAACAGAGTATGTTTTTTCTTATTAAGAGACGAGCAAAGAAAAATCTATCTCTAAAACATTTTTCTTTTTTACTATTATTTTTATTTAAAAATAAAAGTCATATTATCTATGGCTGAAAAGGTAAATTAATTTATTATAATGAATATTATTGATTTAGTTAATTATTCATGTTCTTCTCCATATCCGTTTCCATTTTTTGTCGAGTAGAAGAAATGACAAGTATATGTTTTTATTACTTCTAGTCTCTTCTACAAGCACATGATGTCGTTGCACAAGAAGTCTATGGTGATGGTGCCATACGTGTTACACCATCTTATTTTGGTCAAAATACATTAACATTAGATGCGAATTATGATCATGATTATAATGGTCAGAATGGTAGTGGATTAAATGAGAGTACTGGTCATGGTGGTGATGGTTTAAGTGATACGACATGTGATGTAACACGTATACGACTTGTTCAATTTCAACGAAATACTGATGAACCATTAGTAATAATGGATAAAGAAATTAACAAATTAAGATATTTTATTTTTTGTTTAGGGTATTACACTTCGTATGACAGAAAATAAACGATGTTTAGTATCACGTATACTTAATGGTGGAATGATACATCGACAAGGAACATTACATGTTGGTGATGAAATTAAAGAAATAAATGGACAACCTGTTTCAAATCATCCAATACAATATTTACAACAAATGCTGGTATGTTATTAATATTCCTTCAAGTTCTTTCTTTCTTTTTTTTATTAATTTTCTTTGTAGAAAGATGCTCGTGGCAGTATTACATTTAAAATTGTCCCTAGTTATCGAAGTCAACCACCACCTTGTGATGTATAAAGATTTACAAAATATTAATTTTCCATTTTTTTTTATAATTATCTATTGAAATTTAGATTTATGTCAAAGCTTTATTCAGTTATGATCCAAAAGATGATGATTTAATTCCAAGTGCACAAGCAGGAATTAAATTTTCTATAGGAGATATATTACAAATTATGTCGAAAGATGATCATAATTGGTGGCAAGGCAAAAAAGCAATGTCATGTCGAAATATAGATGAACGAATGATAAATAATTATCATGCAGATTATGATAGTTCACCTGCAGGTTTAATACCATCACCTGAATTACAAGAATGGAGAATTGCAACGAATGCTATTGAAAAAGCTAAAGATGGAAGCGGTATGAATCTTTCGATTTCTTCTAGGAATAAAAAAAAAGTTGTGAATAACAACAAGTAGATTTTGTTTCGCACGAAAGAATAATTGAATTAACTATCATTGAGTTTTTCAATCCAAAGATTCTATGATTATTAAGTATAGATCTTGAATAACAAAATTGTTATTTTTTATTTAGCTAACTGTGGTGTTTTTGGACGTAAACGTAAAGTAATGAAAGATAAATATTTAGCAAAACATAATGCTGTTTTTGATCAACTTGATTTGGTTACATATGAAGAAGTCATACGTTTACCGGAATTTCGTCGTAAAACTCTTGTTTTACTTGGTAAGAAATTTTCTTTTTTAAATCAATTTTTATCTCTTTTATTGTTTTTTAGGTGCACATGGTGTTGGTCGTCGTCATATAAAAAATACATTAATTACTAGTCAACCAAAACGTTTTGCTTATCCAATACCACGTAAATAGAATTGTTTTTTCTTTTTATTGAATCAAAAAATAATGCTTGATTTTTTCTTCTTTCATATTTAGACACTACACGTTTACCAAAAAAAGAAGAAGAAAATGGAAAAAATTATTACTTTGTTACACATGAAGAAATGATGCGTGACATAGCTAATAATGAATATTTAGAATATGGTACACATGATGATGCAATGTATGGAACAAAACTTGAAACAATACGTAATATTAATCGACAAGGTCTTATGGCTATACTTGATGTTGAACCACAAGCATTAAAAGTATTACGTACAGCAGAATTTGCACCTTATATAGTTTTTATAGCTGCACCTGATCTTTCACAAATCAAAGGTGTTAATGTAAGAATAATAAATAGACATTGATTTATAGGATATAAGATTGGAATTCTTTTTTCTCTATTAGGATGAAAGCTTAGAACGATTAGTAAAAGAAAGTGAACTTTTACAACAAGCATATGGACATTATTTTGATTTAGTTATTGTTAATAATGATATTGAAGAAACAATACGAGCTGTAAGCTGAATTTATTTATTTGTTTTTGTTTTATAAATTTTAATTTTGATTTTTTTATTAATAGCTACAATATGCTATCGAACGAGTTAGTCTACAACCTCAATGGGTACCTGTTAGCTGGGTTTATTAAATTTTCATGACAATATATAAGATATTTCTTTTGTCAAATGCAATATATGTGAATAGTTAACAGACTAGTCGACAATATTCTTATTTTTTTGTGTTCTAAAGATCTGATATAATTCTTCCTAGACGAATTGTTTTTTTTTCTCTGTGTTTGTAAATAGACATTTCTGTTCTTTATTTCTGTTGTCAGTGTTTATATATACGTATATGTCATCTAATTAATGGTTATATGGTTTTAGTGTTACTTTTTTTTTTCGATTTTATAATAATAGATTCAAAAGAAAAAACGATATATATATGAATAGATAGGTTATTCTTTGTAGTTACAGTCTTATTATTTTATTAGTGTTGTTTCATAAATTGTACCCACTTGTTATAAGTACACGATTGATATATATATATATATATATATATGAATAGATTATCTCATGAATTTATATGTTAGGTATACTTTTTTTCTCCTATGCAGCAGTCACGTATAATCTTAATCTTCTTTGGTTGTAACTCTTTTTCTTTTCAGTGTTTTTTGACGCTAATCAAAAATAATATTGTAATAAAACTAGTAAGAATAATAGGAATAAACTATGATCTAATATTTTATTATTATTTGAATTTGGACCAAGCAGGGTGTGGGTGCGTGTCGGTGAGGATATAGATATGAGTATTCTATTCCTTGCACATCCACTCTTAACATTATGGTCAGAAATTATTTTACAACTTATTTCATAAATTTCGTTCAATTACTGGAAAACATTATAATCATTGGTTACCATTATATATTTTAAAACGAAGATCATTTTCAATAAAGTCAAACATTAATTTAAAATAGTATAAGTATTATTCATGATAGAACTGAATTAATGAACAAATGTTTGAATCAAAACAAGTGATTGAAGCTTATCATCGTTTTTTACATCTATTAATGCATCTCATTGATATTTATCCTGAATTAGATACTCTGGATTAAGTATATTAAAATAAAAAAGATAGAAAATTTGTTATTCTAATTCTTTCAATGTATATCAAAGATAGAAACTAAAACAATATATATTTTATTTATATTTTATATCTTTCTTATTATAATAAGAGTCTACAGACCTAACAAACAAGAGTATATTCAAGATATTTTTTGTTTTCTTTTGTTTATGTTCTATAATTATGTACGTGATATAAACACCATAAAAAAATCTTGCTTCGTTTGATTTCTCTTTCACTCTTCTATCATATTCTGACTTTGTTTCTACTTTTATAATAATTATATATGGATTTTGTACGTCTAAATTGTATACAATGAAAAAATGCTAGTTTGTCTAAAACAGTTATAGTATATATAATTACATTTCTACCTCATCGAAGAAATCTATTGTTACATACATAACACTAAAACAATATTTCGTTTATCTTTTCCTCAAAGTGTAAAAATTACGTGAAATAGAATTAATAAATCTTTGAAATATAGGTATTTTTTATTATTTCAGTTGTATAATTGAATCTCGATAATTACTTGATATAGACTTCAATCTAATTTTCAATCTCTTTCTTTTCAAATTATCAATTAAAAGCATTAATATTAAATAAAAATAAATTTTTCAAATCTCTATAATTTAACTTCACTTAATGATATATTATCAATCAAATTTAATCATATAATGCATTTTTATTGCTTTATAACAGTTTTTTGATATTTTTTTAAATCTTAATGTAAATATATGTCAATATATTAAACAATGATTTTAATAGAAAATCATCAAGTACATCTGATATTCTAACATGCAAAGAAATATGATATCAAAATAAAATGTTAAATCGTCATATGTTGATATATGACTATTGAAATATTTTCTTTCGTTGTTTTAGATAGTAATTGATACCCGTATCAAATAATTCGGAACGGAAACCGCCGGTTCCATAGTATTTCGGACATTTCATAGAAGCAGTATTTCGGTGACCGGATCTGTTCCCCGAATTTGTCGAGTTTTACCTGGAACCGATAGATAACTGTTAAAAACGGCAGTCGTAACCAGTCATCAGATCCTTGTACCGGATTGCTAGCTTCTCCCGGAGGGTTCCAACCAGATATGGCGAGTTTCTTGATGGTTTTCACCGGAAATTCACGAAATACTGCTTCAGGAATCATCGTCCTGGATATTAATCTTGATGGTGCGGTTGAAAGTGAAAATACAGTATGTTCTTCTCCTACAGTCATTTCTAGACAACAAGAGAATTTTGGTCACCATGTGGATAAATATTTAATAAATATTAAGTATTTTTCTCTAAAAAATAAAATATATAACAAATAATATCGAATCGTTAGAAAATGTGTATATATAATTTTAACAAGTAATGCTCGTCCAAGGGCTCGCTTAGCTCTTTCTCGTAGAAATGGTGTTCTACAATGCTACGGGACCTTTTTCTTATATAACTTACAAACACTAACTTCAGATTCGTGTTCTCCGACCTCAATAACCGTTTCGTCAAATCTAATATCAAAAAAACTTTTTTCGTATAAAATTGGTCCTTTGTCTAAAAAAAATTTTTTCTGAAAGAGTTTTCAAAAATTAACATTAGCTTCGAAGTCCCTGTATCGAAATACCTCTAGAAATATCTTTTTCTAAAATCCGTTTTCGATGTTTTTTTGACCCTAAGGATACATAATCAATCAATCACTCAAACAAACAATTTATTCTTGCAAGACTGTTCTCTATGAGAAAGAGAAAATTGATTTCTTAAATAAAACTCTTCATTTACCTATACCAGGTGTGGTTGTTGATGTATCCTATGCATACTTACAACCACACCCACGCCCTAGCGTGTGAATGTGGGGTGTCGATGCGGGTAAGTGTACGGCTCTTCCTCATTCATACTCACACCCACCCACCTTCAAGATCCCTTAAGATAGTTTAAATTTATCTTTCATACATACAAATAATAAGTTAACAGGTAAAAATCCATTTTTTTACGTCTTTAATATAGGTATCGATAGAAAATTTCTTGCGTAAATCAATTAGGTATTTTAAAAATATTAGCAAAAATTGATATTAAGAAAAAAACGATTGGAGTAGAATAATGAATCGATATGAAAGATACAACAAAAATACGAAGAAAAAGAATGAAAATACGTAGAGTCAGTATGAAACAATAACAAAAACCGATAAGCAAGTATACAGAAAAAAAGGAAGCATCTATATACATACATGTGCACATAGCTAGTCGGTTATATACACACGTGTCTACAGGTAACGGCTATCTACACATAGGTAGGCGTAATCATCTTATTATTTTATATATATTTCTTCATTAATGTAAACTAAATGTCTTATCTTTTGAATAATTTTATTCATAACTACGTATTGTATATTAATATAAAATGATGAAACAGACATTACTTTTTTATGTATTTTAATTATTGAAAATGGAATATATGAAAAATATTGTCCATTTCATCATCCGAGATACCTTTTTTCTTCATATTTTTCACACACCATACTCATCATTTTTGTATTCTCTGTGTAGTTAATATAATAAACTTTTTACTATTGTACTATTATTCATTTAGTACCATAAATGAGATTATACTACAATAGTTCATTAGATTATCCAATATTTTACTGAAAGAAATTCATAGAAGATTTTCTTGTTTTCTTATCCTATTCAAAAATAAAAATGTTGATTAATTATTTTAGATAAATATAAAGAAGATTACATTAATGAATCGCTTTAGTGATATTGATTGTTCATTTAAAACATTAACACCTGTCTATGGTTTTCGTAGTACAGAACTTGTTTCAATTGAAAAAGCATTAGAACCAATAGAATCTCAAATTGCTAATTTATCAACTTATATTAAAATAGCAAAAAAACATTGTCATTATCCATCAGAACATGGTTTAACACATGATGAATCAGCATCAATTTATATTTATACAATGGAATGGGGTGAACAAACATTATATCGTGTTTTAAATAAAACTTTAAGAAATGAAAATAGACATTTATTAAAAGTATGGTTTCCTTATTTGAAATTATTTGATACAGCATTAAATAAATTACCAACTGTAAAAGAAAATGTATGGCGTGGTATTACTGACGATATTGGCAAAAATTTTATTAAAAATCAAATAATAACATGGTGGAGTATTAATTCATGTTCATCATCAGTTAATATTATAAAAGGATTTCTTGGAAATAAAAAAAATTCTACAATATTTTTAATTGAAGCATTGCATGGAAAAAAAGTTTCTGGTTATACACAATATGAAAGTGAAGATGAAATTATTTTAAGATTGGGAACAGAATTTCGTGTAAAAAGTAATGCATTAGATCATCCAAATGGATCTTATCTTGTTCATTTAATTGAGATTGATGAGAAAAATAATGATAATAATCATACAACAGTAGCATCATCATTAGCATCAGCAATATATCAAATGTTTTTTACAGCAAATCAAATCAGTTCAAGTAAGTTTATTTCATTGTTAGATTTATTATAAAAAATCGTCAAAACAAAATATTATTTCTATAACACAATAGATGATGTTATGAGATTTATATGAACTCATCAATAGATTTTTCTCTTCGTAGAACTATTAAGATATTCATGATAAAACTACTGTAGATTTACTAAGAATTACAGATTATAAAAGAACAATGTAATGAAACAATAAACATCATGGTAATATTATATGAAGATGTGGACGAACATTCTCACTCATACCGTCTTAATTTATTTATTTAAATAATATTCTTTTATTATTTTTTACAAAGACAAACGATAACATGAAAAACATTTCTGTTCATTTTTCATTTTGAATTTTTTTTGTATCGACTGAAAAAGAGAAGAGAAATGGGTAGGCGTTGGAGATTGTGTGTAGGTATTCGATTTCATCCAAACCTATCTAATCAATTTATCATCTGACTTTTTCAGTTTGTGAGAATTATAATCTCATTTATCAATTTTAACGTAGAAAATCTTTTCACATTAGAAATCTCTTAAAAAATATAATTTAAAAGATACACTGAAAGATTCTTCATTCACTTAAACCAAGTTCCATAAATTATAGATTCTAGTTAAAAAATACTTCATTTTTAGAATATTTTTATTAGGCAAAGATTTGAAATCGTGAGAATTCTCTACAGATTAGAAGAGTTTTCCAAATAATCTCTTATAGAGACATATGCAAACATGACACAATAACTTTAATTGACAACAATTCGTATAGCCTGTACATTAAAAATATACTTAGTTTCTTTGCAATGGTTCATATTGATACAATGGATGAGTTTTTCATGACTCTCTCTTAAAGCGACAATCAGAAGTTGTTATGATCAAAGACAAAATTCGATTAATTAAAAATATTAGGAATGATTTTAAGTTTTCATCATTTTATAATTGAATGAAATTGAAGAATGAAGGGAGAAAAATAAAATCTTTGGTTTGCATCCTTTTCTAGAACCAAAATGGGGCAAATGGAAACAAAATGCCATCACGGTAGTTGCTGGAAATGGAGAAGGACAACAATTAAATCAACTCAAAGATCCTCGTGGAATCTTTATTGATGAAAACAAAAATATTTTCATTGCTGATTTTTGTAATCATCGTATTGTTGAATGGAAATGCAATGCAAAAGAAGGACAAATCGTTGCAGGTGGAAATGGCAAAGGAAATCGAATGAATCAATTGAATTGGCCAAAAGATACGGTTGTTGATCAACAAAGTCATTCGATCATTATTGCTGATTTTGAGAACAGACGAGTAATTCAATGGATGAATCAAAATCAACAAATTCTCATTCATAATATTGACTGTTATTGCTTGGCAATGGATAAACATGGATTTCTTTATGTTTCTGATTATGTGAAGAATGAAGTGCGACGATGGAAAATGGGAGAATATGACAACGAAGGAATTGTAGTAGTAGGTGGAAATGGAAAAGGAAACAAACTCAATCAACTCAATTATCCTAGTTTTATCTTTGTTGATGAAGATCAATCTGTTTATGTATCAGATAGAAAGAATGATCGTGTGATGAAATGGAGAAAGGATGCAAAAGAAGGAACAATTGTAGCTGGAGGAAATGGTCAAGGCGAGAATCTCAATCAATTGTCTTATCCTCGAGGAGTCATTGTTGATCATTTGGGTCGAATCTATGTAGCAGATCGTAAGAATCATCGAGTAATGCGTTGGTGTGAAGGAAAAGAAGAGGGTGAAATTATTGTTGGTGGAAATGGTAAAGGAAATCAATCAAATCAATTCGACGGTACTATGGGTTTATCTTTTGATATCGAAGGAAATCTTTATGTTGCTGATTCTTTTAATCAGAGAATTCAAAAATTTGAAGTAATTTTGTAAATGAAATTTTTGTTAAATAAAAGATCGAGAGATAAAAGAAAACTAAAACTTCTCTCATTATCTATTTATTCGCTATGTGAAAACTTGTTGTCATTAACTTTTCTTTTCTCTATTTATTTGTCGAATCATTTTCACAAACGAGTGAATAACGATAATCAACAGAACACATCAAATGAATCAAGTCACAAATAAAAATCACAAAAATTTTATTTGAAAACAAGCGACAAATGTGAAAATATTGGTAACTATGGTGTAGAGCATCAGTCGAAGTTCTTCCGCTGGTATGAATGAAACAACACTTCTTAATCGACAGTTACAGTTGTAGGTCGATAGATTTTGCTAAAAAGTTCCGCTGTGAAACCCTATTCAACAAATAGAAAGAGTTGAGCAATAGAATGATTATTTGTCTATAACAATTAGACTAACTCGCCATTCTACTGAGCGACGAACAAAATGTTGTGTCTCAAAATGGCGGTTTTATCATGCAAAAACACATCTTGTTCTCAACACGTCAATTTATCGTTAATGACGACTCGATTCTAAAATCTCACTAAATTGATCGCATACAATATCGTAAGGTCTCGAAAATGCTAGAATTCTGTCAGTGTTGAGAAATGTTAAAAAAACGAATGATAAGTCTAACTCGTATGATTCCGAAAATTCTCATTTCTAGAAATATTCAATCGCATGATGTTGAAACTTTCGAGAGGTGTGAATTCGAACAAAATCAAGAAAACTGACACTAAACACAGTTTTTGACTCCTCGGCACATATTGTGCTGACTTTCTTAAGGTTTACTTGGCTAAAATAGTGCATTGAAATCTAATTAGAATGTTGATCTTACTGGTTGATTTCCTACTGGATCGACATTAACGAATCCTTGAGATTCGAAACCAAATTTTGAGTACAGATGCTTGGAAATAGGATTAACTGAGAACAGCCGCACAGTGATCTCTTTATTGATCATCTGTTGAATGTGGTTGTCAGTGTATTCAAATAAGATCGTACCAAGGCCTCGAGCACGCTCATCTCGATGAACGTTGAATCCTCCGAACCAAACAGCTTCTTTCAAGCCGAGAGTCTTGTTCATATTTCGGTCATCGCTCACAAGTGAACGTGTAGCGAGTACTTTCGTTGGATTGATACGATCGAACACGAAGAACGTATTCAGTAAATTGATTGAATCGTTTTTTGCCTCTTCGTGATTATCTTGTATCCATTGCCAATAGTCATCACCGACCTCATCATCTTGTGCTTCGGTCATCGACAAAATCCAGTTCTTTATAGACAAATATCGTTCTGAGTTTGTTTCAATAGATCGTAGTGGGACGATTTCGACATCGTCGCGTGTATAACGATGTGACATCTAAACAAAAACTGAACGTATCTGAGGATGTGGATATGGGTGGATGCGGATGTATGAGAGTGAAGAGAGTAGACACACCTACACCTTCACCCACACTCTCGAAAAGACAAGTCATATGTAACTGATGCTTTCTCTCGGTGAAGAGTGTAAAAGTGTGAAAATAACCGGTTAATGGGTTGTAGGCAAAACTCAATAAAGTTTTTTTATATTGATATGAAAAGAGTGTGAAACAAAGTGAATAGTCTAAAGTCGATAAGAATTCTTTGTTTTCTTTTCAACTGATAATAATATTATTTACCTTGAAAGGATTTCTTCTCTGCTTGTTTGTAAGAGATAAGACCAACAATTGATATACAAGCCAAAGATAATGTTATGTTACAGAAAGAAACTTAAAAAATATGTATTCTCACTTTCTGTTTTACGATAATAAAAAATACTTTTCTTTAGTCAAGAAACTTCCAAAAGGGTGTGGGTGTGGGTGTGGGTGTGGGTGTAGGTGTCATAGTCTGATTAGAATAAAATCCATTCGAACCCTCATTCAAAGATGAGTCGAATCAAATTATATTTTAGGGTTTATTTATTGAAAAGAAACATCCTTGTTCTTCAAAGTAAAAATTTAAAACAGGATAAGTTTATGTGTATAGTGGTGTAACAATACCACCAACACATTTCTCATAATCGCTATTGTAGCATTTATCCGCACAAACGAGAATAGATGGCCAAAGAGTACAAACAACACCTTGGAGACATTTCTGAAAGATTGAGTTGTAACATTTCCCATTACAAACAGCATTATCAGTGCTATTGCAGAGAACGCCATCGATACAAGTTTGAGATAATCTATCATAACATTTTCCATTACACATACCAGGATTAAAACCATTACAAAGAACTCCATCAAAGCATCTCTGAGAGTAGACATTATTGAAACATTTCCCGGCACAAATACCAGCATTGCTTCCATTACAAAGAATTTCATTAAAGCATTTTTGACTGTTTCTATCATAGCATGTTCCTGCGCATATTCCACTATTAGTTCCATTGCAGATCGTACCATTTAAGCACTGTTGGAACAATTTGCTATAACAGTTTCCTGCACAAGTATCCATATTGAAACCGTTACAGACAGTGCCATTGATACACGTTCGCACTGGAGTTTTACTAAAACACTTTCCTCCACAAAGAGCAGCATTCATATTGCTACAAATAATTCCATCGATACATGTTTGATAGAGTTTATTGTAACATTCTCCTCCACAAGTCCCAACATTAGTTCCATTACAAATATGATCTTCGATACATGTTTGGATATAGTTGTCGTAGCACTTTCCTGCACAAACAGCGTTATTATAACCATCACAGATAGTACCATTGATACATGTTTGAGAAGAAGTATTAGTCATACATTTTCCTGCACATATACCAGCATACTGTCCGATGCAAAAAATATCACTAAAACACTTTCCAGAATCTCTGTTGTAGCATTTTCCAGCACAAATATCTGCATTACTTCCATTACATAGAATACCATGCATGCACGAATGAGTAGATCGATTGTAACATTCTCCTGCACAAATATCAGCATTACTTCCATTGCATAGTTGATCACCGATACATGTATAAAAACGTCGATCATAACATTTACCTTGACAAATACCAGTATCCATACGGTTACAGAGTATTCCACTGATGCATCTATATTGAAATTGATCGTAACATTTTCCTCCACATTCTAAAGAATATATTGAACTGCTAATACAATTTCCATTCGCTGGATATGATTGCAGAAAAAAAGTAATAGCAGTAAATATGAGTATCACTATTGACATTGATCAAATTGTGTTTATAATCAGAAGACCAGATTTTTTTCGAATATGCAATACGGTTGATTAGCATGTGAATATTTATACCAATATTAAACGGAACTAATTGAATAAAATCGTATATATGTACAAAATGTGTCATTATATATACATACTTCAATATTAATGTAACAGAAGGGCTTCATCTTTTCTACAAGCACGAGATTGAAACCATACTGTATTTGCGATGCAATGACGTCATATAAATACACACTATTTTTTTCATTCTAAAATAATAATGACGTGTACGTGTATTTTGAATTTATTTATTTGATTAATGACAAGAAGTGTATGAAATAAATAAAGTATATTCTTGAGGGTGAGGGTGTGGGTGTCAATTGTGAAACAGACCAACTTTTATATCCAAAGTGTAAATCAGCCTACTAATCTTAACTTTTGCTTTCGACATTTTTACTTTCGGCGTTATTAGAGGGAATCTTGAAGATTTTCCTAACGAAGTTATTTATGAAATATTTGAATATGTATATTCTTCATCTACACTCCTCGCCCTCAACAAAACCACGAGGACACTCTTTTGAAACTATACAGAACGATTGCTATTTGTTACGATGCAATAAAATCTCAACATTTAACTGCTACGAAGATCAGATTAAGAATTTTTTTTATCATGCACACCAACTCTTCAAGGTATTTTATATACGATTCAGCGTATTTCGATCTTTTTCTATAAAATTGTATAAGTTTATCAATGAAAACATACAGAACCAATAAATCCGTAAAGGATTTTTTAAAGATCATATAAAAGCCAAAAGACGAACAACAGTTGTGTATAATAAACTTATCGAACAATAAAATTATAAATCATAAACGATTACCTGCACTCACTCACAATAATCGGCCTGCAATAAATGGTAAACCAGCAAGTAAACGGTGAATCCATGTCTTTCCCTTCATCTAAAGTATCTCCATCAACGGAAAGTAAAATATGCCGCTGCCATAGACATCTCTATTTGATAATATCATATTCTAGGGCAACAACGACAATCAAGTCGATTGCATTATGCCGAATCATCTTGGACAAGATGGATACAGATACCACTGTTTTTATGGGTAACGCCTATTCTCTCATTGGCTAATAAACGTACGCTTGTCGACGACGATCTTAATGATCTCTCTATGAAAGATCAATGTTCCATCATATTGAACAGAGTAAATCAGTATAGTTCTAAATGGCCAGGCACATGGAATGTATTCAATCGAATATTTTTTAAAGATTTTTTGTCAAGTATGTTGTTTGTTTTACCGCTTAGTATATCTCGTATTGCACAGCCATTGCTTGTTCGTCAAATTATTCTCTACATTAAAGATGAATCAGGATTACCTGCTTACTCTGGTTATCTATATTCTATTGCTCTTTTCATTGCTGTAATTGTGCAAGCAAGTGGTCAACGCCAGATTATTTTTCGAAATACACGTGTAGGCATGCGAATCTCCAATGCATTATCATCTACCATCTATAAACATTTGTTAAGCATAAATACTGCAGCTCTTCACAAGACTACTGCGGCTCAGACAATTAATTTAGTAGCGAATGATGCTAATAAATTTACAGAATTAAGCATTTTCATGCATAGTTTATTGACAGTACCTCTGGAAGTTTTCTCAACGTTTGGTCTTGTTTGGTGGACCATTGGTTTACCGACATTATTCGGCTATGCAGTACTGCTTTTAATAATACCGATTCAGTTCATATTCAGTAAAAAATTTGGCCTCTACAGAAAGGCCACAATGGCATGTACAGACAAACGTGTACAAACAATTAATGAACTTGTCAACGGATGTCAAATTATAAAAATGTACAATTGGGAAAAAGC